TTTTTCTTCCCCTTTTTAAACACACACTACCTACTCGTGGCTCTATCTATTGTTAAATGCGCTCGAGTGATAAGTCAGATGTCCTAGACGGCGCTGAAGACAACAGTGGCGATGGTGGCGCCACCTCTAGCGCTCTTCTCAGAATTGCGGGAAAATTCAAATTTCTTCACGATTTGTCATCATCGTTTTCGACGATAGTTTTATTACGCACGATTTTCACTACTATTTATTAACTTTAACAAATTAATATTACGAAAATGTGAGGTTTGTTATTTTTCTGTTTGTTTTTTCATATTTCCCTCTGTCTTTCTCCTTTTTTTTTTTTTATAAAGAACATAAGATTATTTATTGGGTATCAAGTTTTACAAATATTATCACACACTTGTTATGAATGTTTTCATTAGGGGTGGTTGTCTTAAGATATATCGTACAAATATAATAATTATATTTAATAATAGCTATATTATATATATATAATATATATATAATATATATATATAAATACTTAATTACCTTATGAAGTGGCAATGCCCCTTACCAACGTATGTATGTACATTCATATAAACGAAATAAAATAAAAATAAAATAAAATAAAATACAATACAATTCATCTTGATTAACATAAAACGACGTGAAATACTATGTATCGTTAAATCTATCGTTAAAAACATAAAATACAATAATAATTACGAATTAAAATGGCGAAGGATAGAGCGACCTATTCCTAACTATTTCACAAATATATTCGCTTACAATCAGATTCGATGAAATTAACTTATTACACGTGAAAGAATCAATAAATAATATTATTATTATTATTTAAATATATATATATATATATAGAAATAAATATATATGTATATATATATATATTTTGTATATATATGTATACATATATATAAAACTATACTAATTATACTTTTGTGGTAAAATATTTTCAAAGGCCTTCAATAGGCCCTGCATTTAATAATGCTTTACTTTTTTTTTTCTTTTAACACGACTCAATAGTTACAATTTTCATATATAATATTTATATATATATGTATGTATGCATGTAGTAGATGTATATACGTATGTATGCATGTATGTATACTTAATGTACAAGTCATTCTCTTTATCGATATATAGCTTACGCACATATTTCGCTCGTTATCGACCGTAAAAGCACTTTTAATCGCTCTATCTTCAAACAATTTGAAAATCTATTTGAAAAAAGAAAAATGAGACATTAGCCACTCTCGTGGAAACTTAAACAAGAAAAAGAAATATATATGTATATACGTATATATATATAGAGAGAGATAAATATATAATCGTCCTTTATGGTAGAAATATCTTTGAAAATGTAAAGCCTTTACGATCGAATTTTTTTGCCCGTATTTTTTTTTCACGTTGTTATTGATTTCCTATTTTTTTTTTTTACACATATATATATATATGTAAAAAATAACATGATACTCAAAATGGTTAAATGCAACGATGAAAAATCTATGAGCTGCCATTTACTATATTATTGAGTATGAAGTTTTGAGATCATGAATAAGAAGTTTCAAATGTATATGGTATATGTAACATATATGTATATACACATATATATGTATATATATAATATTGAAGCAAATTGATCACGATCGAACATAACGAAACTTAAATTAATAACATAGTTAGTTTAAAATATAATTTGCAAATTTGCAAATAGTGGCAATAATTAATATAATATCGCATACGCGTTACAGTATAAATACTTCTCTTTAATTAAGTAATATTGATGTGCTTATGTACTTACAATTAGGCGGCAAAATTGTCATTGTTTTTTTTATTTTCTTTTTTTTTTTTTTACGATCGCACGTATATACGATAAGAAGTTCAATTAAAAAGTCTCTTATTAAAAGAGTTGTCCTTTTTAGTTGTGTATAACTTTCAAGGGATTAGACATTTCGTTTATTGAAATTTCTTCATTATTATGTCTCATATTTCTTTTTTGTTATCCTACATCGGGAATATTTTCGTACGCGTCATTATGACTTCTTCTTCTTCTTCATCATCATCATCTTTCTTTCATTTCATTTTTGTTCTATTCTCTTTCTTGCTTTCATTTCTTTTTCTTTTTTTTTTTTTTTGTACAATATTTCTCTCTCTTTTCTCGTGTGTATTTAAGAAAATACAAAAGTGCATACAAAAGTTGGACGTAGATAAATTCGAAATTTCTAAAAGCGTCTTTATTTCGCTGTATTATGAGTTCGTTATTATTTATTATCATTACTATTATTATTATATTATTATTATTATTATTGATTATTGATTATTGTAATTATTTTACTACCCTGCACTCTCAAAAATTTCTTCTTTTTTGCTTCCTTTCAAAAAAAAATTGTTAACTTCGACTTTATTTTACGCTATTATTTTTTATCAAGCAAATCCTTAGGTCATTGGAAGTGAGGGGGGGGGGATTGATGATGATCAATATCCTAATGTATCTCAAAGAATATGTATGAATAAATCTCTGAAGATCTATAAGATGGATATCTTTTTATCTTATATTGAAATATGTATCTCAACGATTCTCGACATTGATTAAATTTGACAAATATTATATAAGCTTTATGGATATGAGAAAATGCGTAATAGAAAATCAGAATGAAAAACAGGATGTTACAAAAAAAAAAAAAAAAAAAATTAAAAGAACAAACAAAAATAATATTAATTACCAATTCGCGTGCGTTTATCATCTCTCGTTTTTATAATATTAATAAAATCTCTGTGGAACAAAGTACATCGAATGTTTATATTCCTTTTTTCGATAACAATTCTGTTGTGTTAATACTTTGGAACAAGGTCATCCCATAAAAAAAAAATAAAAGAACTTATTGAATTTTTGTTCACTGATCGATTAGAAGAAAAAGAGAAATTACATCATCTGATTTGAACAAGAGATTAAATTAATCATACATAAACTTGACAATATATATATATATATTTGATCTCGTGAAAATCATTTATGTTCTCTTATAGCCTATGTGAATATCATAATTCTAAAATAACTTATCCCCCAATGAGATCGTGATATTAAATTCTTTTTTTTCTATTATCTAAAGAATGCAATGTTAAGAAGAACATAAATAATATTTTTGTTTTTAACCATTTGAGCATCAGACCATACAACAAGGTCACATTTCTTTTATTCATTGTATAAAAATGTTAGTGCATGAAGTAACTGCACTTCCAGTTTACATATTTTCTTGTGATATAACAAAATGTTATCGAACTATTTAATATTTTTCAACTGGATGTTTGTTAAGTCCCATGATACTCAAAACGGTTAAATGTTGGTAAAAATCTATAATGAGCTGCCATTGATATCAAGTATGAAATTGTTGAGATCATGAATAAGAAGTTTCAAATGTATGCTATATATGTATGACATTTTTATAAAATGTATAAATCAATGATTTATCAATGGGAGAGAGAATACGCAAGTATTTATATAATACGTTTATCATTTATACAGTAATATTTGAGCCAGAATGATTATGAAAGTTTTTTAAGTCATAAGATGTTTCATCTTGAATCAAAAATTATTCATTGAATTATTATACAATTGTTTTTGTTTATTATGACAAATTTTTCAAAACTATTATAATAAACATATGTATATAATAAATGTATGTATTTTTATTCTTAATTACATTCAAAAAATTTGAAGAACGACGCGTGAAGAGAGAAAGAAAATATATATATATATATATATTTTTTTTTTATTATCTCTAATAACTTAGAACACTTTTACAATCGCCAGCTCAATGTTTTTTAATCTAAAAATCTGAGCTCTTAGATAATACGAACTTCCTTTCTTCTTTTTATTGTGCATTTTCTATCGCAGCACACGCAAAAGAAAAAATATGCGTGCTTTTTATTACTACGACGATCGAGTAAAAAACTGTATGTAAATTTTAGCAAATGCGAGCAAGATTAGGCGGCAGTTGGATAGCAAAATGAAAAAATATCTTCATTTTCATCTTACACTTTGTTAAATTTATACGATCCAAAATAGATCAGCGCATTTATGCGTACCGTGTCGTTGCAAGAATGAGAGTTTTTTTTATGGCAGTTTAGTAATTATTACAAAAAAAAAAAGATGTCCGTTCATTTATAACATTTATGTTTGTTCTTTCTTTCCTCTCTTTTGTGTCTTTTATTCTTCTTTTATTTTCATTTTTTAAGTAAGACTATTGTTTGTATTAAAAAAGAATTACAAAAAGATTAATATCAATCTCAATTTGAACGCTTAAACCTCTCGTTTCTCTTCATATCCCCACCATACGATTTCAATTGAATTATTGTACTTTAACTTTCATGTGTCTTATAAACAAATAAGAATCCTTACATTAATAAGGTTCCAATTATTTATATTACTCTATATATATATATAAATATGCTACGTCCTTTTCTCCGCACGAGCACGAGATAGAATTCTCTAAAGGTTACCAAACTCCTTCTTCCTCTACCCTACCCTTCCTCGAATTCATTGAATCGTTCGTAGATATTCACGTGGGCACTTTAATAATTATAACACACAACACTGAAATGCTTACGTCCTTAATAAATGCACTGCACGACAGTGTTGAAATACATTGGCAAGTACGAACTTCGAGTTTAAACTCAAAAATAAAATAAGGGAAGATAAAATGAATAAACAAAAACAAAAAAAAATAAAACAATGCTAGTACAGGAGAGACAACAAAAATTGTCGACTAGGAAAATAATTATTTAATAATTCGTATAACTTATCATTGAGATAAGCATATTAATTGCCCAATTAAGCAACTGTATTATTCACGTCGTTCATCGACGTTCGTCAATTATACACCGTATGCATATTCATGTATGTATGTATGCATACTAAGGAAATTATTAAAAAAAATAAAATAAAAAATAAATTAAATACACAAGAGAAATCCTCCGATATATAAAGTCACAATGTAAACGCAATCATCATTGTAAATTGACCTCTCGAGTACTAACATTGATAATGCGTTGTCACATCATATTGTTTATCCAATTAGGAGATGGCACACAAAATTTAGGAACCTGCTATTACTTAGCATTCAAATTCAGATGCTGTTATCGCGTTTAGATCTTTCATTAGACCCTCTAAATTGGCCATCTCTTGATTCAATTCTTCTGTGCTATATGAAGGCTGTAAATATAAACAATTAAAAAAACAAAAATAAAATAAACAATATGAATACGTTGAAGAATACAATTAAATGATTATTTTTAATTTTACCTTCAATCGTTCAACTTCTTCTGAAGTATGCGTTGGATTTGAAACCGAAGCTAATCGATTCTTTGCTAATTGCGACGTAGAGCCTTGAGGCTTTTTGTATGGACTACCAGATATTGTTGGTCTTACCGTTACTTGCGACACTACACATATAATAAAATATATTTTTAAAATGTTTATAGATAAAGATAAATATTAATTCATACTCTAAAACCAACCTCCGTGTTTCTGCTGTGCTGGGGTAGAAGGTGCAGATTGTGGAGGAGGTGCTGGTACACTAAAGCTTTTCAAAGGATGTCCTTGAAGTCTTTTACTAGTACTACTATCTAACGCTGTAGCACTACTAGTAGGTTGGCTACCACTACCATAGTGACTGGAAGCATACTGACTACTTCCACTGTATGACTGTCCACTTTGGCTATACGGTAACTAAACAAATATTTCTCATTGCATAATAATATAATAGATTATTCTAAAAATATGAAATTTTCTTCATGAAAATTTCTCTTACTTGACTTTGTAGAGGTTCGTATGAACTTGGCAGGTTACAAGAATCTGGACTAGATTCTGGTGTTGGTTCTAACGTTATGTGCGCTCGACTTAAACTGTATTGTGCCACGGTACGTGGATAATTTTGTCTCACAGACGGAGCATCCGTACACGTACTGTGAATTGTTGGTTGTGACAAACTGCTATTGACAATCGGCGTTGCAGTTGCTATAGCTGGAAAAAATTAGAGGATCACTGTCCATAATAAGATAAATGAAAGACCTATTGGTAAAAAAAAAAAAAATAAGGAAGATATGACACTAGAAAAGAGGTAAGTTTCACAAATGTTCTAAAAGAATTTTCATGGAGATGTATGTAGAGAGGTGTAGCTGAGAAGCTACTTACGCTGATGTACGGGTGCACTGTCGACAGGAAGTGTTATGAGTTTAGGTTTGTGGCTTCCCCGACTGTGCTGTCTGCTCAGGGTAGAGCACTTCTCGTCAGTGTTACCTAACATCGATTAAATGAAACAAAACCAAATGGCAAAATCAGAATAACCATAAAAAACAAACATACTGCGTGTGTGTTATAGCTTTAAAATAAAACAAATAAGCAAAGATATAAATACTTAATATAAACAAAAAAATGTTATACAAAATCGCGTATTTTATGTAAAAATCATATTGTACCCGTCCAATTTATGTGTATAATTTAAACAACACATAGTATAAAATGTATTTGTTTGGACAGTGTGCTACAATCTGTTGCAATTTCCTATATATTTTTGATTCTATCTAAACTCACCCATATAACTGGGTACATATGTGCGTTTATCCAACGAACTGGAATTTCCATGCACATTATCTTGAGTATATTCTTGATTTCCTGATCTTGGCAAAGTATTACTAGCAACACCGCTGGTAGATGCTTCACCATTGATAGATGATTTTTCAAGAGCTTTGAGTTCCATTTGATCATGATGAATCCATAAATCTGGTGGTTTAATATTAGTTTTTGGATTCACATCTTTCATGTATCTGTGTACGATAAATGTAACGATTGGGTTATTATTATTAGCATTACAGCATGATTTAATAATAATTAATGATAATGAATGTTACCCTTTTTTTCGATCCGGTGAATCTGGATTTCGTTTACAGCACATTACAACAACGACAACTGCTATGCCGGTAATAAGAACGACTGAACAACCTACTATAATGTAGATCAGTATATTGGATAGACCACGGCCATCTGTAAAATTATATTCATACGTTTATTTTCTATTCAATTTATCATTAATTTTCTACATGGGGAAATAAATATATTTTCAATGAATATAATAAATAATAATTCCGATAATGGGAGTAAATTGTTCTCATCGTTAATTTAAATTAATATATCAATATTTGTGATATTATTTATTCCACGAGATATCTACTTATTAAAATGAAATAATAATAATAACGAAATTAATAACTGTATCAATCAAAAATCACATTTAAATAACATGCAACATCAAGAAAAAAAAAAAAAAAAAGAAATTGAGCAAAGGAAGCTAGATTGAAGAGATTACAATATCTTACCTCGAACATGCAATTCATCATAGATATGAATGCCATTGCCTAGCACGGAACAAATTTAAAACACCATAAGTAATGCATTGCCTTTGTACGAACAACATGACATACTAATACAAAAATAAATAAACAAATAAAATAATAATAACAGTTATAAATCAATCAAAAAGAAAAAGAAAATATAATTGTAAGATAATAATTAAATATCACCTTAAAATACGACATATAAATACTTATGTTCAAGACCATTTCCCAGTTAATTATATATCACGGATTTATGCTTAACAATACATTAAATGATTTTCCTTAAATAGACCATTGATGGTATTGGGTTGTTCGGAAAGTAATTCTGTTTTTCATGTTTGATATCTTTCAAATAGTTTTCCTTTTTAAGAATTGTATCAGAAATGAAAAATCAAAATCAACATTTTTTGCTTTAACTAACTTCAATTTTATTTTAAATATCAAATAATCGAACTATCCGAACAACCTAACGTTTGATCCAACAAATGGATATTAAAAGCTTACTTTGTGGAGTTTTAAAAGAAACCGTTGCCGAAAATGGTCCATATCCTTTAGAGTTACGAGACTTAATCTTGAAATAATACGTTGTACTTGGTTGTAACATTCTGATCAGAAATTCAGTTTTATCACCAACAACACCTGCGAATAACCAATCACGATCCCATTTATTGTAATCCGTAGAATAAGAAATGAGGTATCCTAATAACAAAAAAATATTTGATTAATATCTTCGATTATACGATTTATCAAATTAATAATTAAATAACAAATATTAACCAGTGATTGGGCCATTAGGTTGTTTCGGTGGTTGCCATCGTAGAATAACTGAAATTGGTCGATCTTCAACACTATGAACGCTTAAATCTCTCGGTGGAGAACCTGGTGCAGCTTCCTGAGTTTGATTTAATACTACCATACTCCATGGTGATTCTCTTTTTCCCTATAAAGAAACGATTAAATGACAAATACATATACAAATTTGTTTTATTTTTTAACTCTCGTGAAAATGATCTAAGATCAATTTAAATACCTTGATCACCTTAACGGTGAATTCGTATTGTGTATTAGGTTTTAAATCATTTATCATACAATTTAAATCGGTAGCGTTAAAATACTTGTAACGTGGATTGCTACTATGGTGATAAGACGTGTAACGTACGACGTAATAACGATTATCTGTTACATACTGTAAATGATAACAAATTTTAATGAGCGAGTTATAATTGGTTTATCATATAATAAAAATTGTGCATGTATATTATAAATTAAACGTACTTGACTTTTTGGTAAAGTTGTATCAGTCCAATAGAGTACAACAGTAGCAGCTGATAAAACGATTGCTTTAAGACCAACTGGTGGTATTAAAGGCACAATATATTCAGATACAGAACGTTCTGTAGTTCTTACGTTGGCATATGATGGCTGCCCTTCACCAGCTTCATTTGTTGCTCTTATAGAAATAACGTATTCCGTTGTTGGTTCTAATATTTCAAAATAATAAATCAATAGTAAGAAAAAAAAAGATTATATTAGGATTTTTTTTTAAATATACAGTATGTCCTGGTAGTATAAGCGAATAGGAGATGGTTCTACATGAAAAACTAGCCTAAGTTGAAAATATAGAATATAATTTGTTCATACAATGCTTTGTTTATATCTCAAATATGAGTGTAACATTTGGATGAAAATGATCAAACTAAAATATATACCTAAACTTTCGATAGTAAAAAATCGTTGTTTTCCATCAAGAACTTGATCTTCAACATCAGGATATCCTTTACCCCAACCAATTCTGTATCCTCTAACTTTAATACTCTGATCTTTCGGTGGGCCCCACCAAATTGATATAGAATCAGCCATAGGTTTGGCTATAAAAAAAATATATAAATAATAAAGTATTAAAATTGATAAGTTTCTGTAAAAAAGAAAAAAAACAAACAAATATAAATAACAAAATGAAATGATTACTTCTAATGTTACTAGGAGCACCCGGTACATTAGTCTCGTCTAGATCTTTCTCATATGTTTCTATAGTCACCCATTCGGTCCAAGGTCCAGTTCCATTAACATTTAAGGCACTCATTCGAACTTGATATATGACATGCTTTTCGAGGCCAGTAATCACGTATAAACGTTGATTTCCTTCGGTTGTAACTGAATTTGGTGTATAACGGCGATCTTGTCGACGATAACGAATTTTATAACCGGTAATAATCCCATTTTGACCATCCAACGGTGGTTCCCATCTTACAATAATACTCTAGAATATATACACACATGTATATAATTATGAATTACTTTGTCATCATCATTATAATAATTAATATAAAATGCATACAGTTGAACTAGCTGCCTCTAATGTAACATTATGAGGTGGTTGTGAAGGTTGAGCACTGTGTGTTCGTACTAGAATTTCTCTAGTGTATGCACCAGGACCATTTTCATTGACAGCTTGAATTCTAATACTGTATTCTGTATAAGGCACGAGATCTACCAATTCGTACGTTGTACTTGTAGTTTCACGTGTTTTTTCCTCAACATCTCCCTTCAAAATAAAAACAACAAATTATATTATAATCATTTCTATTAGATAAAAGAAAAAACAACAACAACAATTTCTTTTTAATTATGTGTAATATATTTATATTACCTCTGTATATGTGATAATATATTTAGAAATACGTCCATTAATAACTTGCGGTTCGTCCCACGATAAAACAATGATTGTAGCGCTATTAGCGTGACCTTCTAAATTTATCGGTGGTCCTGGGACATTTGCCTGTTAAATTAAATTCAATAGAAATTATATACGCGGTATGAGAACGGTTAATACGTTTCTATGTCGCGTGGGTCGAATATATCCCACATAAAAATTTTCGTTATTCATTTGTAAACCTCACACCAACGAAATATTATGTGACATCGGTAGAACGTGTTAAATTATGTATACAATATACACCATTATAAGAAATGAAATTACCTCAGATTGAGTGGTTACTAGTAATACTTCACTCGAAGCACCAACTCCTCTCGAATTTTGAGCAACTACTCGAAACTGATAAGTCATACTCGGTTGTAAGCCTGATATCATTGCTTCTAATTTTTGTTGAGTGTTGATACTGCGTTCTCTATCAATATTTAATAAAATAATATTATGCATTTTAATTTAAATTGAAATGATAAATAATTATTCAATAAAAATGTTTATAATTATAGAATTTATGAAAAATTACCTTTGTACACCTTCCTGTTTGTAATAAATATAATAACTTAGTATATCGCCGTTGGTATTTTCGGGTTCTTGCCAACGTAACGTAACGAATCTTGCAGTAACGATGATGAAGCTTAAATTTCTAGGAGCCGATGGTACGCTGCCTTCGATCGATTCCATACTTTCTGTATCATCTACAAAATGGGTATTTGGATCGTAAAGGGAGCTAGGATATTTGACTAATCCTGGAAGATCGGCTGGATCATCGGAAGGACTGATCGATAATGGAGGATTTGGTGTAAATGCTGATAATGTATGACCTAATAGCGTACTGGGATGCTGCCATGTTTTATTATACAGAGGACGATAGAGTAATTTTTTTTTTGGAATGGACTTTGGAGTCGTTGCTTTTTGAGGAATTGTTTTTTCTTTTGTACGTACGGTTAGCATGCAGCACAGTTAAAAAGGAAAACAAAGTTGTTTTGGGGTGAAAGAGAAAGAGAAAAAAAAATAAAAATAAAAGAAAAGAAAAAAATAATAAGATAAAATTAAATTCATAAATAAAAAGAGAAAATGATTTTAATTTAAAGAAATTAAATAAATCATATTTATGTGTGTATGTGCAAGTGTATATACAGAATTTAAATAAAGTGTGATGTGACACACGTTCAATGGTAATTTGTCATTGCAACTTTATGTAAATTCTGTATACGTGTACGTGCATATAAAATTATTTATAATGAACAAATTATAAACTAATTTATCAAATATAAAATTTATATTTATAAATAAATAATACGTGTGTATATATAGAAATAGGGAAAAATATTATTTGACTTTTATATGAAGAAAAAAAGGATGAAAACTCACTAGGTTGATTAATGGTAAGTCTTGCCGATGCTTGGACACTACCAGCAGGATTTACTCCTATACACTGAAATATTCCAGCGTCTATAGCAAGAAGGCCATTGATTCTAAGATTGTTACTGTAATTCGTATCAATAGTAAATTAATATTATACATAAGTTTACAAATATTTATACTTTCGTAATTCATACATAATGGGCCAAAAATTTCTAAGTGATTTTCAAAATCAATTATTTTATCTAGTTTATTACTAGTTTATAATTATACAATTTGATTTTGATTATAATTGTATATGAACTTTTGACCCACTCTGTATATAATCTTTGATCCATACCCATTAATTATCTGCCAATATTCGTTAACGGTAATGCGTTCACCGTTTTTCAACCAGGTAACTTTTGGTTCTGGTTTTCCATAAATTAGACATTCAAATTCTAAATCTTGACTTTCACTGGCAACCTTGTCTTCCGGTTTCTTAATAAACGTTGGCGGAACTAAATTGTATTAATAATAAAGTTAAAGAAATCATGATATTCGTTGAATAAAAATAAAGAGAAGAAAAAAATTAAGTTATATTAAAAAATACCTTGCACCATGACCTCAGCAACAGAATCTAAAGTTTCAACTTCATTTTCGGCTCGACATTGATACAAGCCATTATCCGTTTCTTTAAGATCAGTGATCATTAGAGTAGACGAGGCTATTTTACGATACCTAAAGAAACCATAATGACGGATAGAAAAATCAACATAAATGTTAAATAGAAGAAGAAAAGGAAGAAGAATTTATTTCAAATATAATTGAAATAACGTCATTGTTAAGTACCTAGAGTCAAACAATCCTAAGTCTATAGACACACCATCTTTGAGCCAAAAAATTGTAGGTTTAGGATAACCATTAGCAGCACATTCCAAAGTTATAGTAGAACCTTTTACGGCTACTTGTTGCGTAGGTTGTGCAATAAAAATCGGTGGAGACGATCCTTGATCTATGTTAAATACAAACCGATAAAAAATTTTCGAAAAAAAAAAAAAAAAACAAAGAGAAAATTACACGTCCGGCAAAGTAAATAAAATTAAAAATCTACAAAACATTATAGGATTATCGAAACTAACCTATATCGCTAGTTAATAGTCCTAATTGTGCTTTATTACTTAGCCGGTACTGTCCATAACCACTTGCATTACATCTATACGATCCAACATCTTGAATCTGAACGTCATTTATCTCCAAAGCACCTGTAAAACGACGAAACCATCATTTTCATGATCTTTCTTTTTGTTATTGTTGTTTTATCTTCCTGGTATAAGGTATTCAATTTTATATACCTGACGGCATAATAGTCATACGATTATCATCGAGTACTATAGGCCGTTCGTCCTTAAGCCATTGTATTTTTAATAAGCTAGATGAGGCCGGTAGTGTGCAACTCAAATAGGCTATTTGTCCTGGATAAACCATTGTATCTTGGGGTTCTTTTTCAAAACCAGGCAAACCTTGATCAAAAATTATCAAAATTGATAACATTTAAAAACACCTAAGAATATGTTGTTACATTTAATCAATATACAATTTTGTCTCCAAAATGAACACCATATATTATATTAACTATCTTATATCTGAAAAAAATCTACTATTTACTAACTTGCAAGTTTGATCGTTGCAACTCGAGAAACAATAGCACCAACATCATCTACGGATGCTAGGCATTGATAGCTTCCAGTTAATTCTGAACTACCGGCGTATACGCTATTTATGTACAAGGATCCATTTGCTAGCTGCGACCTATACAAATAAACAAATATAAACAAATAAGAGGATGAAGAAGATAGATTTGAGAAATTGTTTGAGGGTTGTTGCTTGAGAATGGAAGATGGATGAAGATAGAAAGAAAGAAAGTAAGTAAAGAAAGTAAAGAATGAAGATAAAAGGGGATGCGTTAGAAGATGGATGAGCATCCTCCACACCCCACTTCACATTCAGGTCTTAGAATTGAGTTAATAGTTTACCGATAGTTTTCCCCGATAAAATTAATCGGCGTGCCATCGTCCGTTCGCCACTGTATCGTAACTTGACCAAAACTACTTTTTGCTTCGCAATCCAATCTTGTGGATCCTCCTTGCTCGACTACAACATCCTGCGGCTCGATGGTGAAATACAATCCTCCGCCGTTTACTCCTATAAACAAACAAAAAACGGACCATCAAAAAATGAATAAAAAAACATTCAAAAAAACCCTTCTCCAAAAAAATAGGAACCCCATAGACGATATAACAACTTACACTAAATATAGCAATATTCGTAAATATATATAGGGTTGATTGCTCGATTCAACGATCATAATCTTAACGTTGACAAATCAACGAATCACCTCTCAAAAAATCTTTCACCTGGAAATAATTCCTTGACTCACCCTATATTTATAATTGAATGAATGAATGGTGGGGAAATGGAGGGGAAAAGGGAGGGGGATGAATTTGATAGGGTCTTCCTATGTCTCGACAAATGTCCCATAGGGGAGAATTTTAACGAGCATGCTGGACACCCGTTAGAGGAGAAGCAACGCACATATTATACATACACATACACATACAAACATATATATATATATATACCAATGGCGTACTACTCTTTTACTATCGAATTTCGTATCAGTGTGTTTCGTGACCTATTCGAACGCAGGACGCACGTGTAGGCGGATGAAGTGTCAGGGGCGTACGTAGAAGGCTGCCTTTGTTGAGGAGGAGACTACGAAAGGGGATGAGACAACAAACAAAGGGCCGACGACCCTGTAACGACGACGCCACCCTTCCCTTCTCTTCCCTTTGGCCTTTCTCTCTTTGACTAGGAACATTCGAATGCCTGAATTTTCTCTCCTGGTTTTACTCCCTTTTTCTCCTTCCCACTCTCTCACTTTAAATACATGCATACATACATACATACATACATATATATATACAAAATGCACGTATTTTAATATCCCCCTATTCTTCTAATTAGAATTCAACCTTTAATATCTATCTTCATTATTTAAATACTTTAATCGCAATTTTTGTATAACGTTTCAAACATTAATTTTAGGATTATTCTGATATTATATATATTTTGATGTTATTTTATATTTAATATAATATACGTGGTATATTAATAAACATTCTATGTTATTTATATGCATTATCATGAATGTACTTATACAGGGTGAGTTATAGATTTTTAAATTATATTTAAAATTAATTAATTTGTATTCTACAAAATAACTCAACTAACAGTCTAAAATATCTTTTTAAGTATTATATTTTCTTACATTGGTCTTGTGAATAAATAATCTTTCATTTGATTCAGAGAAAATTGAAAAATATTTGATACAAATTTTTAAAAAACATTTGATACGAATATATGTTTAAGATTTTAACACGTTCCATACACACGTATTCCAATATTAATTTCGGTGTTTGAAAATTGTGTGTTTTGTGATATAATTCTTTTTCATATATTTATTTTCTATAATATTTTATTGACTATTTTCTAATTTTCTAACCTATAGCAACAACAACAACAACAACAACAACAAAAATACAATATTTATATGTATATAGTAATAATATATATAATACTAGGGGTGCCCCGCCACGAATTGCTGTGGCTCACAATCAGTCCAATACACACGTCTTTAAGTTAACGAATTATCTTATACTGCCAACTGTTAGAATTTTATCGAACTAACAGAGATAATCATGACTCTTTGTTAATAAACAAATAATTCGCAATAAAATAATACTGTGATTATAAATTAAGATATAAACGATCCTATCTTTCAAGTTGGATGAAACTGCACACAGTGTGCAAAATTTGATTAAAATCGGTTCAGTAGTTTAGGAGTCCATTGCGGACAAACAACGTGACACGTAATTTATATATATTAAGATAAGATAGTACAATATTTATATGTAACATTTAACAATTGACCAAAAMCTATAGCAACAACAACAACAAAACCAATACTGTATTGACAAAAATACAATATTTATATGTATTTACTTGCACGTGTATAATAAGGGGTCGCATTTAAATATCTCATAAATTCATATAATATAATATATATTTTTAATATCTATACTTAATCGTTCTAATTCTTACATAACCTCCAAAACATTAATTTCGTTTCTTATATTGCTCTTTTATTTGTAGTATATCAAATAAACTTTATATCCCCCTTTTCTTTTTATCCCCATTTCCTATTTTCCTCCTACGCGATCGTTAAAAAGATACAAGACAATTCAACGACTCTCTTGTGAATTGGTCACTACACAGTGATAGAAAAAAAATAGGTAGAAGAAGAAGAAGAAGAAGCAGAAGAAGAAGAAGAAGAAGAAAAGGAACGAAGAAGAAGAAGCAGGGAGAAGAACTCTTTCGGGGACAGTTTTATGGTGTACGATGCTAGAGATTGTGGGAGAACATAATTCCTTGTCTTGAGGCTCTTCTCTTTTCTCTCCACCCTTTAAAGGCCGGACGTATTTTTCTCAATACAATGGCTGTCATGGTGGGTAGGGGTAGGACGAGGAGATTAAAGAGTCCACAAGCCGATTGTTAGAACGATTAGAAACGTTAAAAAGCGTAGAAAATGATGAAGATCGTTTTAAATAAAACTTATTTTAGCATATATATAGAAAAATAAAAGAAAAAAGATGATGACTATGATAATAATAATACAACGTTGAATATAAATAACATTTAAGATGGATTTAAAAAGATTAAATATTATTCATATAAGAAAATTCTTACCTAGCATATTATAATACATATATATATATAAAATAAGATATATTACATTATATATATATATATATATCATAGCTGACTAATCGTAATAGTAGTAGACAATAAAGCTAACTCAGGATGCAACTCACGTAAAACTTCGTATAGAGAGAGAGTAGAGAAACAATTCCTCTGAGAGATGATTACTCACTCATACACACAATCAAAGAGACGACGACGACGACGACTACCAACACAACAGATAAATGTATACGTGTAAATAGAGAGATCGATCTTAACAAAAGATGATTGGTACTCCAAGCATTTAAACGATTATATACCTCGTTGGCACGTCGATGAATTACTTCGAAAGCCAATAATGGTAATAGTTTTGTAAAAAGAGAATGTTAGAATCGATTTCCCATTCTTATGCAACTAAATTCTTCTTCGAATAAAAACAAGTCAAAGAATTCTACTTCTTGCAAGAAGAAGATATTTCTTTCTTATTCTTTTTGTTCTTCTTCTTCTTCTTCTTCTTTTTTCTTTTAGAGTTGTTTAATACCAGGAGAATTTTTTTCCTTCTTTTTACAAGCAAAAAAATTTCTGATTTTCTCTTAGATATTCACGTTAGAGAGAAATAAAAGCTTTCTGCTGCTGCTACTGCTGATGCTGATGCTGATGCCTGGAAGGTATTTGAAAAGTTTTCAAAATGGCGCGGTGCGAACAACATCGAGAAATGCTA